AACAGGGTGTCCCCCTTTTTAGATTTCGTGAGCGAAGTTTCGCTTTGTGCGTGAGAATTTTACACTGAGGCAAATCTGCCAGAAACAACCCTTTATTGGTGAAAGTACTTGGCAAAGGAAAGAACAATAAACTCACCGTCTTCCTCTTCATTACACAAGTCTCTGCAGTTCGAGATGGTAAGACCTCTTCCTCTGAGCTATATTGTCAAATCAATAAGCTGGTGTGTCTTATATTTCATAGACTTCATAGACAGTTGGGCTGGAAGGGACCCTGGAGGATCATCAAGTCCAGCCCCCTGCCCCAGGGGCAGGAAGTCAGCAGGGATCATAGGATCACAGGCATGCATTTGCTTGGGAAGGGGCATGTTTATTCTTCATGTCAGTTAAAAACATGCTTGGCTGGCATTGCTTATGAACACCACTGCTAGTCTTTCAGGCTTATTTTACCTCAATGCTTAAACATCTACTGTATTTTGTGTGTTGTGTAATATTAGGAACAGCAGCGTTAAAGAATGAGTGACACCGCAGATACACACGTGTCTGTGCTCTCCCAAACTAATAGCCCACAATGCATGAGCCTTTATATGTTTTACAGAAAGCTCTATCATAGCAAACCATTGTGAAAATAAAGGATACCTCCCCACAAGTCAACTCTAACCCCTGCAAAGGGGTTAGATCCTGCATAGGGGTTAGCCCCCTGCAACCCTAACCCCAGCACACTTGTCCTATGCTTTCCCTGCAGCATGCCACCATGCGGGAAAGGGTCCCAATGGCTCAGGGCACAAGGTGCACGACACCACGCTGACTTAGCAGGATGCTGTCTGTTCCTCTAATGCCTCTTGACCAAAAGATGGAGAACATAACAAGACCCTAAATCTGTTTCCCAACAAGACAGCCCCAAACAGCCCTTGATCCAGTGAAAGTTAGATCGGTAACTCCAGGAAGAAAAGTCAGTAACAAGCTCGTTATTAAATAAAATAGGATGAAGTGTGAAGAACACATTGTGAGGCTAAGAATAAAAAGAAATCCCTTCTCACTGATTTTAATAGGAGCATGACTGGACCTCAGTATTAGCCAACTTGCCCCTGTTACCTTCCAGCAAAAAGCACAGCACGTGTAAAGAAAGCATAATTAAAGTTAAAGCTATGCATGAGGCAACTGCAGGAATATCATATTTACAATGTTTTTGTCTATCCCCTTCACTTACCATTGGGTGAGAGAAACCCATTTCTCTTAGCACCTCTTTGGCAGAAAGATAAGCACGCACCGAGCCAGCTCTGTTCTCCCGAACAGCGATTAATGACTGGGCCTGATGCAGCACCTCTGAGGTTGATGGCAGGGCTCCTATTGCAATCAATCCCCAACTGTGGACTTCATATTATTGCAAACCTGACCCCATATCATGCACTCCCAGCAACTGCAAAATGGGGGGAAACAGTAAAGCAAACACAAATACGAGTCCTTTCAAAAATAGCATGATCCCTCTCTAAACCGACAAAGTCCAACAAACGGACAGAGGCCACTTTCGTTTCAGCTCCAAGGACTTGAAGGAGCTCTGGTACGTTAAGGCATCAAATGGCTTTATGCTTTTTTTCCAGGTCACGAACACAGAGTTAAACGTGCCCGTCTGCCTCCTGCGTGTCTCGAGGCAGCTCCTGGCAGAGACCTCCTCTGTTGCATCTCACCTTCTTGTTTTAACCACACTGTTTTCCATAACCCAGAGGGATATCTGAATTTTGGCCTCTCCATTTCCTCTGGCCACTTCACATTTCTTGGGGCATCCCCACACCCACTCTGCAAGGATTTACCAAGTCTTTAATTTTAGGAGTCACAAAATAGCTTAAAGGGATAAACGACATAGCAGCTTCAGTGTTTGCACCAAGGCTCCCAATGCTTTTTCAGGTTTTGTTCTCCGTTAAGGTTTATGGTGACTGGACTTTAACATGTGTCGTTTAGAAAAACATTCTCCTGGATTCCTGCTCTTCCCTGGCTGCTTTTCAGATTATTTAAGTCCTTCCTATATTGACTGAAGCTGCTCTTTTTAAATAGAACAAACCCAATATCCTCCAGCTAATTTTCTTTCTCCCACTAAGGGACTTCTTCAAACCAGTATGGGCAGGTTTGGGGTCAGCTCATGTATGCTTGCTCTCCCCCATATCCACTGAATAAATTGTCTTGTTTGCCATGAACTCCCAGCACAGATTGGATATTAGGAAAAGCTTTCTCAACGAAACAGCATACCGTTCTTTGCTGTGGCCGTGTCTACATCAGATGCTTTACTGCACAGTAGACTAATCTGCTGCACAGTAAATCGTCACCGTCTACATGTGCAGGCACTTTACTGCGCAGTAAAGTCAAATAGCATTAATTGCAAGTATAGATGTGCCCAGCTAGTGCAACTGTTCAATATCCAGGCAGAAAACTGGCCTATCATTTCTGTGGTGGCTCATAGACTACCAGCTGGCTGTCCTTAGGACCAATATCTAGTCCTCCTATAAAAATCTCCCTTATGTAGCCCTAGCATTAGCCAATTATTAAGTCAAATTCACCTGCAATCTGCAGCAGGCTCCTATAACTGTTTCCAAGGCCCAGCTTTCCCCTCCTGTGTCATAAAGGCTCTTCACATTGCAGGCAGCCAACTCAGCTCCATTTGTTTCCACCACCGTCGTATGCTTCAGATGTCAGCAGTGTTGCGGGGTGGTAACCTAGCCTGTAGCTTTTCCTCCAGACTTGAAGCCTTATTGGTTTTAATTTAGTGTCTTGATTGCACACATAAGCCACAGGTGGTTCGTGAAGGCAGCACATCTGTTACGGGCTCCGTGTTAGGCCACGTTAGCAGACGAAACAGCTGCAGAAGCTTTCAGTCTGGTGGAAACCGGCACAGCTGTGGTGCATTGGCTCAGCGGAGTCTCTGATGGTGCGGTACGTCTCCTCCAACTCCAACCCTTCAACTATAGGGCAGCTTAGTGAGTGAAATGATGAATCTGGTCCTAATCACAACATGTCTCCCGGGGGATGTCTGATCTCTCAGAGACAAAATCCAAATTGGCCACAGAACCATAGAGCCGTGGGGCTGGCAAACCCTCAGGTGGTCACATCTGGTCCAACCCTCTGCTCAAGCAGGATCAGCCCTGTCCAAATCGTCCCATACAAGAGCTCATCAAACCTACCCTCAAAGCTGCATGAACAACCGTCTTGCACAAGTGCAGGGCACGCTGTCCAAAACCAGCAAAAATATCCCGACTCGACCCAGGTACAAGAGGGAGGTGAGGGCACTGCTACGCTCCTGCTGCTGCCAGGGTAGGACGTAGCTTGTTAAAAATACACCTGAGAGGTCTCAGGAAGGCCAAAGTGCATCTCCGCAGACCTGTGTAATCTCTGGGGATCCAGTTTGGCCACCTGCTGAGATACTGCCTTACTCTGGGAATAGCTCATTTGAGAAATTTAACCGGTTCTCCCAGGACTACCTTGACTTTTATAAATTAGTAGATTAGGTGCCCCGATTCTTTAGTAACTGGCACATCAGGAAAACCCACATAAAGGCTGGCTCTAAGAACAGACAGCACAGAAACCTACCTGATTACCCAGTAATGATAATTTAGATGTCTCTTGTACCTTTGAACTGTGGGTCCTGTTATAAAGTAGTCCTCCAACCCTCCCCCTCCCCATGATACAGGTTTTATTAACCCCATTTTACAGAGGTGGGAGGGGAGACACAGACAGGTTAAAGTGACTTCTCCCCAGGCACACAACAGCGCACCGGGACCAGGACCGGAGGGCGCTGTCTCCCTGCTTTGACCCTGGACCATCCAACATCCAATGTTCACACGCACAGTCCTTGGGAATGCCAGGACATCAGCCAGGGACCAATTTGCCTCGATGAGAAACAATCCCTAATTTATCTCATAGTTACAGCACATATTAAGGACCATTACGCAGAACAACCATGCTCCAGTGTGGCAAATAAACCAGCACACTGACCTTTTTATACAGGGAGAGGGGCTTTCCAATGTAGTAAGTGAAAACAGCTGTCCAAAGAACCCGGGAGTCCCTAGCTCCCATGCACTCAGTTCGGTCTGCACCATTTAAACTTTTGTGTTGTTTTTAGCAAAAATATCTGGACCTGTTAGGAGCAAAATGCACCTCTGGGAGGTGTGCAGGGCAGCATGGAGACCCACCCTTAGTGTGAAGCAGCAGCAGAGGCAGGAGAAACAGCTTTCCCTCGCCCGCGGGGACAGCTACCCGCTGGACCTGGGACTCCCACGCTAGCCCTTGGTGTTAAAAACAATCAGCAGGTACTTGAGGGTAGTTTGGGACATTTTTGCATCAGAAAATACATTTTTTAGCCAGACTTCTCACATCAGCAACCCCAAGTAGAAACTTGAGCTTATTATGCTCCTTGGAACATCGCCTGAGACAGAGAGAAACCACTCTAGGCCCTAATGTATGAACCACAAAAAGTCCCTGGATGAAGAGGAGTGGATTCTCAGCCCTGGCTTCCTTCCCTGGGGTTGCATCACTAAAGATGCTCAGGGGCCAGCTGAGATGGCCCGTGCCACACGGTGAATCCTCAGAGGAAGTCATGCAAGAAAAGGACTCAGACAGCATCAGCTTCTGTGGGGAGAAGCTGCAGCAAGGGAAGTTGAGGTTGGACATTAGGAAAACCTTTCTCATGAGGAGGGTGGTGAAGCACTGGGACAGGCTCCCCAGGGAGGTGGTGCACTCTCCATCCTTAGAGGTGTTAAAGGCCCAGGTAGACAAAGCCCCGGCTGGGATGGTGTAGTTGGGGCGGGTCCTGCTTGGAGCAGGGGGTTGGACTAGATGTGCCCTCCTGGGGTTGCTTCCAACCTTCATTTTCTATGATTTTATGATTTTAGGGGCTGTTTCCAATCCCTCCCAACACATCTCACGCTCACTGTATCACTTCTCCATTGGTTTCTAAGGTGCATCATCTCAGAG